TTTTTAATGATTTCTTGCGTTCGCCGATCATATCGAAAATTGATTGACGTCCGGTGATTAATGGCAGGGGAGTGTACATGGGTTATAGGTAAAAAAAGTAATCAGTTGCGGGATATGTGGATCAGGTAGCCGAGACTATCTATTTGAACTTGGATATTATTTATGTACGAAAAAATACAATTAATAATGTATAAATATCTTAGTGAAGTCTGGCAATTCTAACCAAGAATACTTAGCAGTATAGATCAACGATCTCATCGATATCAGACATCTTTTTACCATTTTGCATAATAGATAGTGCCTGAAGACATGCAGTTTGAAGACCAATTGTCTTATACCATGTATTTCGGAATTCTGTTAGCAACTCACACTCGGATTCTAAAATATCAGATAATATATATTCTTTCAGAATCGTATTTTTAGAAATGCGCTTATGTGATTCAATACGCCTTCTCGTGCTTTGAACTCGAAGCCAGATTATAGCCACCGTATGACACCCTCCAGCAATTATTTTTCTGGAATATATAAACCGACTATGAATGAATAAAGTAAAGTGAATTATCGAGGGGAAGAAATTTTTTATCCAATCTATAGAAATCATAGTTATGGATTCCCAATCCGTCATGCAAAAGAACCGAAAGAAAGAACTTCCACCTATGAAACTTTACCTTATGGATATGGATGAGGCTACAAAGCATGAATCATCTCGAAATGTGTAATATAAGCACGATGAAGGCACGATGATTTTTTTCTTATAAAAACGTATGGAGATATCATATCTCAGTTGAAATTAGGATCGTCTAAATTTTTGTGATGTGGACCGATGATCACTAATTGACGAAAGAAGAAATCGAAATGCGGAGTATTATAACATTCCCGGTAATAGCAGGGTAGACTTTTGAAATAGCATAGCAAATACAATCAACGAACGATGCATCAGAAAAATAAAGTATCATCATGTTTATATGGGTGATCGCCTGCCGAGATGTGTATTGGTTCGGATCAATTTTCAGTATGAATTATTTATTGGTATAAAGTAAATCATATATAGACATTGCATAAATCAGTCATGTTAGACCCGTGAGTTTTTTGGCAATTCTTGCTTCGGAGTATCTTCCCATCCTTCTCTTTTTACGCTGAGCAATCAATTTTTCTCTCGTACAATGGACACACAACTGTATAATAATTATCTTATCATTACCAAATAGTGATATTTTGATAAATTCGTGCGTATACTTACTGCCCACTTTATTAGAGCTTCATACATAAAAACGAAATTAGGCATATCTACCCAATCTTTTGGGAGAC